TAATAAAATGAATATTCTTTAAATTCTTTAAGTTCTTTAAATTTTATACAATAAATAAACTCATAGTTTACTCATAAATGAATCAATTATTTTGCTAAAAAAGATTTTATTTGAGTTAAATATTTATCAAAATTAGTATAATAGACACTATTTTCATATTAATCGATGAATTTATTTCAAGAGTACAAAAGGTGTTGCATAGAGATTATCAATAAAAATGCCTCCATTTATGAGGTCTATTCAAATCAGTACTTAAATGGATACTGAGGGCTAACTGTAAATACTTACCACCACTACATTGTATAAATACCATCAATTTTTAATTGACATTTATTTGTCTCTTATAAAGACCAGGATTAAAATATATCTGTCGCAATATGTCTACGGAGACCATTACTATTTGCAGGTCACTATCACCCTGCTCATACGCCAGTCGTTTACGTGTCTATTAAATATCCAAATAATATTTTAATTTAATAAATGAAATAATAATAATAATAATAATAATAACAATTCAAATATATAACATACCAGGTTAACTAAATCAGTGAGATGTAGATTGCAAGCGTACTGCGCTATTGTATAACTGAATGCCTGTCCAAATAGTGTCATTCCTTCCGCGTGACTAAGCCATGAATTTATAGCTAAATTGTATTCAAATAAATTACATTAATTCACATCTTGTAACACTTACGCAAAATTAAATATCAATGCATACATTTAGATAGGGCATAAATGACATAGGTACGCTTATTAATATTTTTTCGCAAATTTTCCATTTGTATATCACTTTCTATATGTTGGCCACCCTTTCCCACATACATATCCATACGGCAAGCGTTGAAAACAAATATTTTTGGTTTATTTCTAAGTGACACACAATTGCTTTCGCAAAACATGTCCACAATTTCTGTGACCGACATCTCATTGTCCGGTCGGTCGCCACTCCCGCGGAGTTTACCGTTATATAGGCTACAAATATTTTTGGTTTATTTCTAAGTGACACACAATTGCTTTCGCAAAACATGTCCACAATTTCTGTGACCGACATCTCATTGTCCGGTCGGTCGCCACTCCCGCGGAGTTTACCGTTATATAGGCCGCCGATAAACATAATAAACAGGGCGTCGGCGTCAAACCGTTGACACGACACCCCCAATAGCACATCCCTTATTTGAGAGCACGTGGCGTTCCGGTAGGAGTCGTACTCAAAGCCTAACTGTCCGAAAATGGACGCCCATCTGTCCACCTCCTCCTTCAGACCACCGACTGTCACAAACACAATAGCCCTCCCTCTGGGCCGGGAGTCCATATGAAAGTACCGCGAATTGCCTGAACGCAGTATTGTTGCCTTTTTTACTTGTATATCAATTTGTTCAGTGTATGGCCATGGTGAGCCCATTTGGTACGAATCCAATATCTTATCCGCCTCCTCGCGCAGACCAGTCTTATCCAGGAAGTATTCAAAGCGACCAGGGGCACTTAACTGGTCCTTAATCTGCTCAACCATTTCCATGTTTTTGCTCTCATTTTCTTGAATTTTCTGTAAATGTAAGCTTTATTAATATTTCAAATGTTCATGGTAAGATGCGGTTATAAAATGTGCAATGTCATGTCATCACTTACTTTCATTTTGTTTAATAAAGGATCGCCATTAGGTTTAATTAATCCCAGGCTCATTTTATTGACAGTACTGTAAATCATATCATCGATAGTAGTATCGCCAGAATTGTCGGTTTCATTCATTTCTAAACTATCGGGTGGTGTGAGCGCCTGTAGTGTATACGAGGCATGGCTACTATCGGATGCCAAATTAGATACAACTGGCCTCTTGTAGGACTCAACTGCCAGACAATTATGATCTGATGGTTGTGGCGATGGATTCATATCCTCTACCAGTGGTTGAGTGGATGTCATCTCAATATCATTACTATAACCATTGGACTCCGCAACTGGGCTTACAATTTGTGTATTTGAAGGGGTAGTAGTAGTAGTAGTAATAGCCACTGAAATTGGGTATATCAGGCTATTCATACAAATTGTAATCCACGAAAGTGGGAATAATTTACTATTTAATCCCTGATTGGTTTCAACCCCAATGGCATAAGTCGTGTCATTTATGTTACGTATGGCATGACTGGCGCTTTTTTGTGGGATATCTTTTGATTTTTGTTTCTACGCATTAATTTAATCATTAAATTTTATCAATAGTTCACTTAAACTACACTAGCTTACCAGTCTCATTCCTAATTTTAAACATTTCTTAAGCCTACAGGACTGGCACACCCTTATGTCACAATGTATCCGATCGCTTGCACCCATTCCCGCATTTGGACACACTTTCTGTTGTAAAAAATTAATTAGTGTTTTAACTTATTTTTATCTATTAGGATATTCATTATAAAATATTGTAATGGTAATTTTATAATACAGTACAGTATTAACAAATAATTGATTCACAAAATAAGTTATTTTAACAATTGTTTATAGAAATATAAACATGAAATTTTTAACGTAATTAAAATAATTTTAAAATACGAATCAATAAATTGTTTAATATTATACTCAATAAATTATAATTTAAATTTACTGTTAATTTGTTGGCATTTTTAGAAAACCATTGTCTGTCGGCCTCACACGTATAGATTCGGCTCCCATTGGGCACATAGTTCTCACCTATTTATCCAGGGTAATCATTTTAATAAATAAACTAACAATCTCTGAATCATTTACTGTACCAATTTTACCAGGCTTATCCCTGGTATTGACACCACAAACACCACATTCACGATAGTCTGTCATCTATTGATTTAAAATATACTTCACATTTATTGGAAAATGAATCTTGGTAAAAATTTAATTAACAATTCATGATTAATATTTTAAAACACTTATACTTGTAATAGGTGTTCAAAGCTAGTTTTGAACATTATTTCATGTTACATGGTATATAATTATATAAATTAAAAGCTACTTGTATAATTTTTAAAAATCTTCATAATTTATTATATTTTTAACCTGATAACAATTAATAATACTAGATACGGAAAAGATTTTACGCAACATTAGTAATATTACTTACATTTATAACCAGTGCGTGGATTAATAAGTTATTATAATCAAAGTTAACCAAAAATGAACAATTTTAAATATTTAAATATTTGGGATAAGAAATATCTAGTATATTAAATATAACTTAATATATGAATTGTGAAATCTTACGTTATATAGTTATATATTACGTTATAAGCAACTTGTGTTCAAAACATTGAATAGTTTAGTGAACGCACAGTTGCCTGCAATACTCAAACATTTACACATTTTTGTTCAAAGTATTCATAGTCTCGTTCGTTCGTTCATTACGTCACGAGTTGTGCAGATAAAGTGTGCGGAGAGAGAGAGAGAGAGAACGAGACAGCAAGCGAGTGAAGTAAGAGGGAGTCAAGGATACTAGTAATAAATTTGATCACTATTTATATAAGTTCATTTATTTATATTATAAACTTGTTTAACGGAATTAGGAGCAATTCACAAAATACGAGCGCACAGACATGGGGGAGGGGGCATGCAATTGTGCATGGTCTCATGTAAAATTGGTATGTAGCGAAAGGTTAAGGGGGAAGGGGGCAACTTTATACAAATATTTGAAACCAAACCTGACGCCCCAGACATTTGCCAACTCATTATTTAGTGAAACATAAATGTTCATATTACAAAGTTTAGATTTCATTTTAATTTATATTAATACTAAAAAATTATAAGCATTGTTTCATTATATTAAAATTTACACCAAATTATTGAAGTTGTGTACATTAAATTAATTTAGTGTATTTCTTAAATGTGAGCTGGGTCAATGGTTACAATTAAAACGGATGTGCTGTAAATTAATGTTCATGATTAACAATTAAGGATACAAATTAAGAAAGTAAGTTAATTATTGACGTTAACATATGGCATTTTATTATAATTTATATTAATTATTTTATAACTGGACATAACAACATTAAGTTTTTGGATTTTAACCGGGATAAATATAAATATATTAATAAAATAATTAAAAAGCATAATGAATGAAGCAAATAAAATTTAAGTAATCTGAGAATATTTGATAAAAAACACAACAATAGAAAAGCTCAGGTAGTCTATTAGAATTTTAAAACAAATTTGATCAAGCAATTTATATAACTACTTTTGCAAGCGAGTACTATTGATACTGTTATCATGCAATGGGCAAATATATTTCTCGCTGGTTATCCATGGGGTATATGGCAATGTTCGGGTGGTCACTATCACGATGCTCAGCTGCAATGCGCCTAATTGCCTAAAGTGCACATTTAACATACCAGAATATGAATTGTAAAATATAAAGATTAAATAAGTTACTACCATGTTAACTATTTCATTGAGGGGTTTGCGTGGGTATTGTGCGGCGGAATGACTGAATGCCTGTCCGAATATTGTAATATTTTCTGTGGGTTTACGCCACGAATCCTTATCTATGAATATTACAAATTAACTCTAATTAATTAAAAACTATTAAAACCAATACAAATGCATACTTTTGGAATGTGCATAGACCAATAGAGTATGATTGTCAAACATCATATGAAAGTTCTCATGCTGCTCTACATTTTCTAAATAATAAATAAAATTATTAATAAGTTATTAATAATAACTTATCCACTTAAGTTTTAGATTGAACTCTCTCTCTCTCTCTCTCTCTCTCTCTCTCTCTCACTCACTCACTCATTCTCAACTGTAAACACGAATAAATAAATACCAATCGAATGAAAGTTAAAAACACAGAGTTTTAGTCTGTCCCGCAAACACTGAACGAGGTGTGAAAGAGTGTCCACTATTTCCGGGACTGACATCTCATTTTCCGGTCGGTTGCCATTGTCCACGAAATAGGCACCGCCTATAAACATGACAATCAGCGCCTTCCCATCGAGTGGTTGAGCCGCCAGTCCATACAACGCGTCCTTTATCTTACGGCGCGTGGCTTTGCTATCGACAGTGAATTCGTAGCCCAACTGTTCATAAAAGGATTTCCATCTCAACTCTTCCTCCTTGAGATCGGGTTCCGTCACAAACACTACGACACGACCACTAGACCTGCCATTCCCTGTTGAGAGCACAGGTTGACCCCTCACCCTTAGATCAATGCCATGAATAGCGGGCCAGGGCTGCTCCATACTGCTCGCCATGATAGCCCTCTGGAGGTACTCCAAGTGACCATGCTCAATCAGGCAGTTTTTAAGCTCTTGTTGCCACACATTGTTTTGATTAATATTTGCATGCATTCCCTATTACCGTATAATAAATTAATTAGCATGTAGAATTATCAAAATTATATAATAGCTGTATATATAGCACGTACGCGAATAATATCTAAAGCTTTGGTAATAAATGGTTGATCACAGGGAATGGCACTCAAGTCAATGTCAGGGCGATCAACAAGAGTAGTGATCAAATCAAAGACACGACATTCTCGTGTCGGAGGCGCTATCATATTAGTTTGTGGGTTCACTTGAGTTGGCAGTGGTCTGGGTTGGCACACAATGGCCACACATGTATTAGTCGAGAGCTGTGGTGGTGGTTGTGATGTCGAAGCGTGCATTGCATTCACACCCATTCCCTGGTCTACCATCTCTGCGGTGTCGGTCATGAGTTGAGAAAATACCTCCAAATCTAAGTTATCTGAATGTGTGCTCATCAGATCTGAATGGGAAATGCCTGCACTGGCAATGATGCGCTCAAAATCCAAATCTCCTGTTCCCTCCGTGTGTGGCGCCTATATGTGGTTAGATTGAGAGTGAAAGCCGTGTTAATACAGTAGTTGTCATTACGACTAACCATTGAATTAGTGTTCAAAATAAGACCACTGTTTGCGATTGCGTTAGCATTCTGTGCGAGTACGTGAGCAGGGTCACTGTCAATGCCACAAATAGGTGGCTGCGGTGATGGCACACTAGTTACTGGAAGTTGAGCTTGGTCCTTATTAGCACTAGTCCCTGGCTGCTCATTAAACATAGACCCGCTCGCATTAGCCGTGTCCTGTGCTTTATTTTTCTACATATGTATCAAATGAGTAATTAATAATTAGTACCAAGATCATGCACTACTCGCTTACAAATCTCATGCCCAGTCGCAGGCATTTGTGTAGTTTACAGGACCGGCATATATTTATGGCACAATTCTCCCTATCGACTGGTATAGGGCCTCCCGGACACGCGACCTGTTATACAAATAGATAAGTGTTAAACGTGCTTGCTCATATAGTTGATTAATCCATGTTTTGTTTCATATATACGTGTAAACCGTGATTTCTGCCGAACCACTGTCTGTCGCGCTCACAGGTGTAGACACCGCTGCCTTTACGCACATAATTCTCGCCTATATGTCCCCATATTAATGATTATTTGTAATGAATGCAATTAAATGTAATAACCCACCAAGCTTAGTCCTTTTATTGGCAGTCTCCTCATTAACACCACAAATAGCACACATCGGACTGCCAGACATCTAAGGAGTGATTATTTTCGAAACAAACTTTTTATTTTTCATACTTTCAATAGTACTGTTAATATGAAAATATTTTAATCAAAGTCTACAAAGATGTGCACAAATAATAAACATTTTATACCTGTATCACCAAATGTGCATAACTTATACACCTTGGTTATTATTTATTTATATTCAAAAACGCGAGTTTTGAGTGCATCTAAAATGCGTGCAATACTCGTGTGAGACATATGACAGTTAATGTCAAAAAATGTTTGCACTACAAACACAGACATTTTACCTGGATTCAAAACTAATCTATTTATATGAAATCTGTATCAATTTTAGTAAAGTATGAAACTATAGAGCATATACATAGATATTGTCAATTTAAATTAAATTAATATCTAACTTAAAGCTAAGAATTTAATTATAAATTCAATGAATTCCAGTATATGTCACACTTTTGGTTCAATTAGTGCAAAGTGATAATAAATTCCTGCTTATTATATACATGATTCAATACAAGTTATTAAAATAATCGTTAATCGCTTACCCTTAAGGAGTTGAGTTGTGAGTGTATAAACTAAGACATGTATTGAACAATTAAATGTGATCAACAATTAGTACAAAACTAATTCAAAACTAATTCAAAATCAGTGCAAATATAAGGCACGAGTGAAAAGCAAGCGATTCTCGCAGTGATTCACCGCTCAATGAATACATGCTATGATAGCGTCTGCAGTGTTGAGACTTATTCCCCAATCATATGCATTGAATACATAGAAACGTTTCGTTCGTTCAAACGTCACGTCATATCAAACGATCAAAACGCTCGCCGTTTATACCAATGAATGCTTGCGTTCACGCATTTGCCCACAAAGTAGATAAAATGTGGAGGAAATTCTTGTAAACACACTATAAGTGTATTCAATATACACTTTCACCCCCCCCCCCCC